CTTTTCTCAATTCCTAAATAATAGTAGGAAATTTTTAATACCACCATGTTATAAATTTAACTTCCTAATAGCTACAAAATAATAGGATATTTTAATACCACCTTGAAAAATTAAAGTTAGTCGAAGCACAATAGTTAAAAATGAATTCAACCATGTTATAAATGTAACTTTCAAAAAAATTCATAAATAATAGTAGAAAATTTTTAATACCACCTTGAAAAATGAAAATTACTCGAGGAACAGTGAACCCTAACATGTTATAAAATAAAATTTCTGTGCAACACGCGCACTTTTATTTTCCATTATTCTGTATTGCACAGAGTTAATCCGACTTCTTGACAGATCTTATCGCCTTGGATCATTCCAAAGGATACGGTATGACGGGGTTGCGCGAGAGCCTATACGTTTCCATTACCCGGTGGGGTAATGCCACTTGGCTCCCCCTTCTCCCGACGCCCGGCATAAATTAGCCCGTTCGTTCGGGGCATTTCCATTCCACGGTGATCCCGTGTGTTTCAGTCAGTCAGTCAACCAGGGTAATTCTGATCGTCGGATTGAATACGTATGCGGCGCATGGCACGCGACTTTTTCCGCCGGCCCAGGAACACGTATGCAGCTGGCCATTTTGTTGGAGAGTAATTGTCATTCTGTTTTCCCATGCGACGCGTGCCAATGAATTTCATATTCTTCCCGGGGGCGGTTCTGCGCGAATGGTGGCAAACATTCAGCTGGAACGAATCTCGGCGCCGTTAATTGCGTATCCGCGGCTGATCGGCGGGCGAGCGCCATCGAACACTTCTGACGATAAGGGAGTTGCCGGTGTATTGGAAAATATGCGAACGAATCTCCGGTAATTAATGCCGGCTGATTTCGCATGCGGTTCGGCGATAATTTACGAGGGGTTCAACGAAAATGAGAGGCGACGTTATCATTCTCGCAGCTTATTATCGTACGAGGTATTGCGGGTTACGAGTTCGCCGTGTAATTAACTGATCCATGCAGCGATAGGCGAACTGCTGACCGCTTTGCGCTGCTGGCTAATTTATAACGGCGCCCTTTTTCCCTGCATTCGCTCTCTCGATTTTTCATGAAAACGCCAAGAAAGTTGCTTCGTGATTCCGTTGGTAGCCGGACCATTCCTTTTGCAGGATGTACGGTAAGTTCTCTCGAATTGTCCCTCTGCTTGTAAACAAAAGTGAACGATTTGGGAAGAGAAGAGACGATTATTCGAGCCGCGGCTTGTTTCTATAGTCGCCGATTGTTAACAACTATAAAAATAATCGTATCTCCTCTTCCCGAATTGTTCATTTTTGTTTACTAGTTGGAGGATTATTGGGGAGAATTTAATGTACCAGAACTCTAGTTAAAAGGGATGATTCCCGAAGCGAATTGAAGTAACTTTTTCCTTAGCGAAAATGTTGGTTACAGCTTAGGTAACGAGTTATTAACAGAAAAGACGGACCAATCAGAGAGGGAGTACGGCTGAAGCCGTGTCGATCTTGTTATCGTGCCGACGCGCATCAGTGTCGCAATCAGTCTCTGATTGGTTCGTAGTTTTCGTTGATATCTTGTTAACGGAGAAACAACCAGCATTTTCGCTACGGAAAAAGATACTTGAAATTACGTCAGGAATGATTTCTTTCCGGGTGTAACGGGAGTCCTTGGACACCTTGTATAGTGTTTCCTCTTTGGGCTATATTCCTATCCCATTACGTGTCTAACGGTGAATGAGAAAACAGATTTCGCTCTCTAACGTCGCGCGACTCGAGGAATATTGCGGAAAGGAACCAGAACAATCGTCTTCGACCTAATTAGATAACTCGACGTGCAACGTGCTGCCTCGTAGACGAAGAACGAAGAGAGAGTACACATTGTTACTCACCTAACTTCCCCAGCCTTGATTACTTTGATTATTTTGGCTCTTGACGAATTTGCATTAATTGAGAGGAGAAAATAACTCGAATGGCGGTTATCATTGAACAGTCAAGTGCTGAAATATTTAATGATAAGTTATACGAACGTGATATTTTTATAATATTTAACGATGATGATATAACGATGATTTTTATATTATAGTTAATGAAATTATAAAAACGTTTATATAAGAAAATTGTCGATGAACTTCTTTATTCAAGCATATATTATAACAGCAATTGTGCGGAGTTTGGATAAATCCAAACATGTTTATATTAATATACTCCTGAACATTGTACAAAGCAAAAATTGTCTCCATCAATTATTGTATGAAATAGAGGTTACGAAGAACTTTCGCTTCTTTTTTCAATGATTTCAGCAAAATGAACGTAATATTTCGGTACTATTAAATACTCTCAATCATCTAATTAGATTAAATTATACCTAATATTTGTCATAAATGCATGAAATCCAGAGCCCAATTATAAAATAATATACATTAGTCGCATTTAAAGTTAACAATGTAATCTAATTCTTTCAATTTGTTCAATAATAATAAAAATAAGAAGAAGAAGAAAAAGAAGATGAAGAATAAGAATAAGTTTTCGATATTGATTACCTATATATAGTGTGTGTGTGTGTGTGTGTGTGTGTGTGTCTGAAAAACTGAAATACATATAATGTACATTAGTCGCACTTAAAGTTAACTATTTAATCTAATTCTTCCAATTTGTTATGGACAACAAGAAATGCTTAATTGATGCTTACAATATCAATTAAACATCAATTAGACATTTCTTGTTGTACGTAACAAATTGAAAGAGCTCGCGATTCTTTTATCTGAAAATGACGTCACTACACATTACATTTTCAAGCTATACGGATTCGCACAAATTCATTTCATTTTTCGTTGAAAAGAGTTTGTGAACAAACTCCAACCATCATAGTTTCTTCGCCAACGGCGGAGTTTTTAAAAAGTATTCAAACAATGTACCTTCTGAAGTTCTTAAGAAATAATTAGATTTGGAGCAACTGCACGAACTACGTAGTAAGCTTCCTGTAATAAACTACGTTTGATAATTGAAAATGTTCTGAAATCATAAAAACGGAGTTAACTGTTTGGAGTCTGATTCACTCTTTTACTTTGAAAAACTTGTATAGAAATTGCTAACCGCTTTTCGAAGAATTTTCGAACAAATGGCTTTCTTTGCGAAAAAGTCGAGGTCACCCAATTTGCAAATACGAACATCAAAGGCTCCAACTGAATTTTCCCCTTTGTCAGAATGTTCTATGGTGACGTCTCGTGAACTGAAACGCGGAGGAATACTATTCAATGCGTTATGAGATGATAGCATTAAAAATGAGATAAATAAGAATGAAAACTGTGATGTAAACAAAAAAATATTGTATTTATCGGAGTTTAATAAGGTTTAAAAATTGGTCCTTTTGGAGCAATTTATAAAATTCGAGAAAAGGGTGGACAATTTATAAAGCCAACAGCATTTTTGTCACTTGTACTTTATAATATATATTCTTTTTTCATATCGTTTTGTGACTTCATATATATATTTGATGAACCGAAAAATTTGAAGAACTGTAGTAATTTAAGGTTCTATTTATTTACTGTGTTAAATAGAGAGAGAGAGAGAGAGAGAGAGAGAGAGAGAGAGAGAGAGAGAGAGGGTAGAGTAGAGAGAGAGAGAGAGAGGGAGAGAAAGTGTTGCAAGCTGTTTTCTTCGAATATAATGACTAGACTGCAAACTAAAATGCATTAAATAGCTGAATAGACATTGGTCTGAATAGATATAAGAATAATGTAACATTATTTCCAATTTGATAAAATTATCGAAAAAAGAACTGTTGCAACAGATACACATGTATACTGTAGCATTTTCTGTTTCCCGTTTCTTGTAACCGAAGCGGACAATTTTTATTATACATAAATATGTGCGGTGTACTAATGACGAATGTTGATTTCATACTTTTTTGACTAGTACTCTGGAATGCAAGACATTTTTCATTTGAAAGTGAACAAATTTCAAACCAAGTAAAATGTACACAAAGCACTCCAAAGTATACCAAACAAATTGAAAAAAATATGAATTCAAATAATTCATTACATTTTGGGAAATTCAAAAACCAGTTTCGTCAAAATTCGATTTCTGTATAAATCCGAGCTATAACTTTCAGTATCACCGATTATCGTGCACAAGCACAATATAATAATCGGTGTNAGAGAGAGAGAGAGAGAGAGAGAGAGAGAGAGAGAGAGGGTAGAGTAGAGAGAGAGAGAGAGAGAGAGAGAAAGTGTTGCAAGCTGTTTTCTTCGAATATAATGACTAGACTGCAAACTAAAATGCATTAAATAGCTGAATAGACATTGGTCTGAATAGATATAAGAATAATGTAACATTATTTCCAATTTGATAAAATTATCGAAAAAAGAACTGTTGCAACAGATACACATGTATACTGTAGCATTTTCTGTTTCCCGTTTCTTGTAACCGAAGCGGACAATTTTTATTATACATAAATATGTGCGGTGTACTAATGACGAATGTTGATTTCATACTTTTTTGACTAGTACTCTGGAATGCAAGACATTTTTCATTTGAAAGTGAACAAATTTCAAACCAAGTAAAATGTACACAAAGCACTCCAAAGTATACCAAACAAATTGAAAAAAATATGAATTCAAATAATTCATTACATTTTGGGAAATTCAAAAACCAGTTTCGTCAAAATTCGATTTCTGTATAAATCCGAGCTATAACTTTCAGTATCACCGATTATCGTGCACAAGCACAATATAATAATCGGTGTTCCGACAAAAATAAAATATTCTCTGCGACGCGGGGCAATTACGATCTGTTTCGTGTTTCAGGGACACCTGGCATTCCGTCGGAAGCAAAAGTATAAGAACGCGCCGAGTGGGGATATTAAAACGCCAAGAAGTTTAATCGACCGGTGAGCTAGTTCTCGACCGCATTCAAATTTACAACCGGGCGGGGAAGCAAGAAATTCGACAGGATTCCCTCTTATCGTGTTCGAGCGGAGAAGATATAACGGATGCGGGGGTCGAGGAAACGAACGGTAATAAGAATTCCGATTCCCACCCGTTTCATTTCGAGTCCAACGAGAAGAGATCCGTCTTGAAATTGTGGATGCTGGCAGATCGTTTTTTCGATAGCTCGGTGAAATGGTCTGACAAAAAAGGACCGAAAAATGAGAAAGAGAGAGAGAGAGACGCAGAGAGTGAGGGAAAGAGAAAAAAAGGGAGATAGGAAGAGAGTCGCGGAAGGAACGGATAAAGCTGGAGGATTTGACCAGAATCTCGAAGGTCCGATCGGCGGGTCTCTAATAGAGAAGCAAAAAAAAAATGCCATTTACCGGAGATACTTAGAACTTATGAGAGGAGCGTGTCGCAATGAAATTCGTGTCGCGAGTTCCTCGGAAATGCGGCGGTACCGTATCCATTTTATTCAGTGATTTTTATCGAATAGACAGGGAGGGGGACTAGGGCGGGCCGCACGTCGTGTAAAGCAATTTCAGAACTCGATTAATCAAAGAGCAATTTTCGACGGGATACGCGGGAACTATTAATCACACCGGTATTACGTTTACCTTGGAATCTCGGAATTGTTCCGGTTCTAGGCTGATGGGAATCGACGTTGCAGTCGAAATCCTTCCGCTCTATATTAGATCCAGTTTCCAAGCTTCTTTCGCTCGCTAATTGAAAATAAAGAACGCGATTCCAGTAGACGGCGAAAAAGGAATCTCACGTGATACCCGAGTCTCGATTACGATAGGAATCTCCGCGAAATGTCTTATCCAATTTTCTCTGCGTCTGTTCTGCATATTCGCGTCTGCAACTGTTCGTGGGTTTACGGCATCCTGACGGCAAACTTCGATTAGCTTCTTTTAAATTATCTATTTAATTATTTATTCAATTACTTTCTACGTTCCTTTTGATATATCAGGCGTGCCGGAAGAAATGGGTTCGTACGATATCATTATGTGAATTTAAAATTAGACGTGAAATAAGAAAATATGCTTTATCTTTATCTTTATTGGAATTTAAAATTAAGCTTGAATTAATAAAAATGTTCTAATACTTGTACAGTATCATGCAGGATCAAATTGTTTGTAAGTAAGGCTCTATGTCATATTTAAAATATATAAACGTAGACTCTTATACCAGGTTTGCATTTAATTCTATGCAAAGAAGATTCGTAAAAAGAAAAGTTTCAGTTTGAACAGTATTTACAAAATATCAAAACGAAAGTTTATCTGCAACAGGTTGCTTTCTCGATCCGCATTAAAAACTGTAGTAAATTGGCGTTGCAAACATGTTGTTCTCACTGCGTATTTTTGTAATATTTATTGGACAAGTTCCAATCGAGCATTGACCATTAATTAGAGACTATGATCGCTTTTAGTGCTAGTCAACCCATGTATCAATTAATTGAGCTGAAAAGAAATATGTCAAACCTTGCCTTTAAATAGTTCTGTAGTCGAGAACAACTACATAGTACAAACATCAAATCTCTTGATAAAAAACTTGATAAGAAACATCAGTGAAAATCATACTTAGATCACCCATCGATCGTAAATCTTATTGTAATTAGCTTATTTAACCCTTAAATGCATGAATTAATGAATTTTATTTAAAAAATAGGGTTATAATTTTTCAAATGAGTGGAAATCGGGAAAAATATTTAAAAAAATTATAAGTCATATCTTATAGGGTTTTTATTGAAAAATATTAATGATTCATTTTTGGTACACTATGCAAAATAAACATAAAAATTCTTTAGTTAGTATGACATATCTATAACAAAATTATAAACCACATGCATACCACACCAAAACAAAACCAACAAACCAATAAAGGAAGCATAGTACTAAATACATGTCGTAATTATTACCATTAGTGCATGTTGTCCCATTTTTGCATCAA